AGTATTGCTGAGCATACAGAACCCACCACAGAAGTGACTTTTGACAAAAACACCATCACCCTCACAGCCCTTCCAATCGTCTAATGAAAGGGATGGTTCTTGCAGCTTAAACCCAAATCACCTCTCATTCACAGTCCCTCACAGGGTCCCCCAACCCAGCCCAAGTGGGGAAAAAGCTCACTTAATGCCATCCAGCCAGGTGACAAACTCATAGGCGCTGCTGGTGGGAGCGTGACACTGTACGTAGGACTCAGGAGCGCAGTCCACCGTGTTGAACACCACGAGGCTGTACTGGGTCCCCCCATACTGGGGGAGAGGGGGGGACAGAGGAACTTTTAATCTGGGACCTCAATTCCCTTTTACCTCAGAGAAGGAATCAGGGCTCCCAGCTTCCTATTCTTCCAGAACCAGGAACTCCTCAGATTCCTCCTTCCTCAGACCCGGTAGTCCAGGCCCCCAGCCCCTCCTCCCTCAGATACAGGAGTCCAGACCCCGACCTCCTCGTCCCTTTGACCCAGAAGTCCAGACTCCTACCATCTCCTCCCTCAAAGCCAAAAGTCCAGACCCCGACCTCCTCATCCCTTAGACCAAGAGTCTGGATACCCAAGGCCCCTCCTCCCTCAGACTCAGGAGTCCAGGCCCCCAGCCCCTCCTCCCTCGGACCCAGGAGTCCAGGCCCCCAGCCCCTCCTCCCTCAGACTCAGGAGTCCAGGCCCCCAGCCCCTCCTCCCTCGGACCCAGGAGTCCAGGCCCCAGCCCCTCCTCCCTCGGACCCAGGAGTCCAGGCCCCCAGCCCCTCCTCCCTCGGACCCAGGAGTCCAGGCCCCCAGCCCCTCCTCCCTCGGACCCAGGAGTCCAGGCCCCCAGCCCCTCCTCCCTCGGACCCAGGAGTCCAGGCCCCCAGCCCCTCCTCCCTCGGACCCAGGAGTCCAGGCCCACAGCCCCTCCTCCCTCGGACCCAGGAGTCCAGGCCGCAGCCCCTCCTCCCTCAGTCCCATGAGTCCAGGCCGCAGCCCCTCCTCCCTCAGACCCAGGAGTCCCAAGACTCACGTCACCCCCGAAGTCCGTCTCAGCAGGAGGACCACCATTAAAATACCTGTGAGGGTCGGAGGTGAAAGGTCGGAGTCAGACCAGAAACTGTGGGAAACTCAAGTGGGAGGGCGGGGTTAGAGTCGCAGAAACCGCACTCACTCGATGGCCGGGAGCAGGTAGTGCTTGCGGAGCCCTTCGAAGTACGGTCCCAGGTTGGCGGTACCCTCAATCACAAACACCACGTCGGCCACCAGGCCCCCGGCGCGGGCCGGGCCCTCGGACCCGGGGACCATACCCCGCGCGGAAGCCGCCACCGCCACCGCCGCCGCAGTCGACACCGCGGAGTGAGCGGAAATGCGCCTGCGCTGCGCGCGCAGCCGCGCCGGGCGGTTTAGGGCTGCTGGGAGCGCACGGGCGGCCATGTTTGTGCGGGGCACGCGCCGAGGCTTCGATCTGGCTCCATCCTCCTTTGCTCCAACCCGTGGAAGACTCAGTAAGGGCATAGTTAGCCCTTTTGGGGGGCCTGATGGGTTAGACAGAATTATTGTCAGGATTGTCAAGAGCGAAATAAGTTGAAGGCGGCTCAGTCGGCCGCCATCTTTGAGCGGGGCGTCTGGGCCCGCCTCTTATCTCAATGGGAGGGGCAGGAGACCTGGTTGCTATGCAACGCGAACGCTGCCCTTGTCTTCTTTCTCTTCCATCCTTTTTTTTTTTTTTTTTTTTTTTTTTTTTTTCCGAGACGGAGCCTCACTTTGTCGCCCACCCTGGAGGGGAACGGCGCGATCTCGGCTTACTGGGTTCAAGCGAGCCTCCCGCCTCAGCCTCCCCAGTAGCTGGGATTACAGATGCCCGCCACCACGCCCCGCTAATTTTCGTATTTTTAATAGAGACGGGGTTTCACCATGTTAACCAGGCTGTCTCGAACTCCTGACCTCAAGTGATTTCGCCAGCCTTGGCTTCCTAAAGGGCTGGGATGACAGGCGTGAGCCACTGCGCCCGGCCCGCTGCCCTTGTTTCCTAACCGTGAGATTAAGTTTCTGGTTCTGTTCTTTCGGGCGCGGGGGCTGGGGGGAGGGACGCGAGAAGGGTCCAATCGCATCGGCGGAAACGAGGTTACTAGGCAACGCTCTAAGGTTGCCCTGAACTTGGAAGGGAGGGCAGTAGTTTTCCCCCTGAAAAGCAGCTGAACACGAACCCAAGTGCAAGCAAGGGTTGCTAAGCAACACCTGAGCGTTGTTTTCCGGGCGAGGAGCCAGAAACTAGCCTAGAACATAAATACATTCCAGGTGGATTAACAATGTAAGTGCAACAAATAAAACACGAAAACTATCTGAAGGAAAAAAAAATCCTAATGACTGCCATGGAGTTTCTTAGCAAAGTCACAATACGTAAACTATTAATTTGTCCGCAAAAGACTGCATAAAGCCAAGTTGAGACATATACCACGAACTGGGAAAATCTTTCTAGCGTGCTTGTTGACAGAAGTGTACTACACAAATAAATCTTACCGATGAATAACAGTATAGAAAAATAGACACACTTCATTATTATCATCTTTTTAGTTTAAGTTTTATTTTTTCAGACAGAGTCTCTGTCTGTTGCGCACGCTGGAGTGCAGTGGCCTAATCTTTTTTTATTTTATTTTTTTATTTTTTTTTGAGACGGAGTTTCGCTCTTGTTACCCAGGCTGGAGTGCAGTGGCGCGATCTCGGCTCAGCGCAACTTCCGCCTCCTGGCTTCAGGCAATTCTCCTGCCTCAGCCTCCTGAGTAGCTGGGATTACAGGCACGTGCCACCACGCCCAGCTAATTTTTTGTATTTTATAGAGACAGGGTTTCACCACGTTGACCAGGATGGTCTCGATCTCTTGACCTCGTGATCCACCCGCCTCGGCCTCCCAAAGTGCTGGGACTACAGGCTTGAGCCACCGTGCCCGGCTCCCAATTTTGGCTCACTGCAGCCTCTACTTCTTGCGCTGAAGCCACTCTCCTGCCTCTGCAGCAGCTAGGACCACAGCCACGTACCACCACTTCCGACTAATTTTTAATTTTTTTTTGTAGAGTTGGGATCTCGATATGTTGTCTTGGCCTGTCTCAAACTCCTGGGTTGAAGCGATGCTCCTGCTTTGGCCTCCCAAACGGCTGGGATTGTACAGGAGTGAGCCACCATGTCCTGCTTTTTATATTTCTTTTAATAGAAAGGAACCTGACCAGGGCCGCCCACCGTGGCTCACGCCTGTAATCCCACGACTTTGGGAACCGACGGGTGCAGATCAAGAGGTCAAGGAAATCGAGACCATGCTGGCCAACATGGTGAAATCCCGTCTCTACTAAAAATACAAAAATTAGCCGGCATAGTGGTGGGTGCCTGTAATCCCAGCTACTTGGGAGGCTCAGGCAGGGGAATCGCTTGAACCTGGGAGGCGGAAGTTGCAGTGAGCGACATCGTACCATTGCACTCCAGCCTGGCGATAGAGCCAGATTCCGTCTCAACAACAAAAAAAAACCCATAATCTTCACCAATTGAAAAGTGCTTCCAGAAAGCCCAATGATATAGCATTTTATCTTTTTTTTTTTTTTTTTTTGAGACGGAGTTTCGCTCTTGTTACCCAGGCTGGAGTGCAGTGGCACGATCTCGGCTCACCGCAACCTCCGCCTCCTGGGTTCAGGCAATTCTCCTGCCTCAGCCTCCTGAGTAGCTGGGATTACAGGCACACGCCACCATGCCCCGCTAATTTTTTGTATTTTTAGTAGAGACGGGGTTTCACCATATTGACCAGGATGGTCTCGATCTCTCGACCTCGTGATCCACCCGCCTCGGCCTCCCAAAGTGCTGGGATTACAGGCTTGAGCCACCACGCCCGGCCTTATCTTTATCATATTACATTTTTTTTTCCCACAAAAATCTCCCTCTGCCACCCAGGCTGGAGTGCAGTGGTGCTGTCTCGGCTCACTGCAGCCTCTGCTTCCTGGGTTCAAGTGATTCTCCTCTCTCAACCTCCTAAGTAGCTGGGACTACAGGTATGCGCCACCACACCCAGCAAAATTTTGCATTTTTAGTAGAGACGAGGTTTTACCTTCTTGGCCAGGCTGGTCTCGAACTCCTGACCTCAGGGGATGCACCTGCTTTGGCCTCCTAGAGTGCTAGAATAACAGGCGTGAGCCACTGCACCTGGCCTCCTGAAGCTTTTTTTTTTTTTTTTTTTTTTTGAGTCTCAAGTCAAAAAAAGAGAGTCTTACTTGCTGAAGCCTTTTAAAGCAAATCAGTACAATCATATCATTTTACCCCTGTGTGCTTGGCAGGCATCTTTCCAATTTTATGAAAATATTTTTACATAACTAGTAAGCCATTGTCACTTGTAACAAAATTAACTTCTTAGTATCATCTAACAGTAAGTGTGTAATCAAGCGTTCCAATTGTCCCAAAATGTGTTTTTACAATTGCTTTATTTGTATCAGTATCCAAAGACCATACACGTATATAGACATTATGTCTCAAGTTTATTTTAATCTAGAACAGCTCCCTCCTTTTTTATGCCTGTGCAACTAAAATTTTAATAAAGATATAAAGAAAAGTAACCCAGAGAAAGGAAAAAAAAAAAAAAAAAGGTCAATAGGCATGAAGGAAGATTAAAATGGTACCTAGGCCAAGCGTGATGGCTCCAGCCTGTAGTCCCCGCACTTTGAGAGGCCAATGTGGACGGATGACTTGAGCCCAGGAGTTCGATAGCAGCCTGGGCAACATGGTGACACCCCATCTCTACAAAAAATACGAAAATTAGTCGGACATGGTGGTTCACACCTGTAATCCCAGCTACTCAGGAGGCTGAGGCAGGAGAATCGCTTGAACCTGGGAGGCGGAGATTGCAGTGAGCCGAGATCACGCCACTGTACTCCAGCCTGGGAGACAAAGGGAGACCCTGTCCCTTCCCCGAACTCCCCTAAAAAAGAAAGAAAAGAATGTACTTTAGGAAGTAGGAAAATTAAAAATTATGCTAGAAAGATAGATTGATTTGCAAGAAGGAAGAAGAAGGGCAAAATGAATCATAAACACATTTATAATTGCAAGTAAACACTACCTGTATAGCATAAGAAAAATATTTATAAGGGCATCTTAAAAAGTCACTAGTTGGCCAGCACTAGCTGCTTAGTCTGGAGGCGTTCAACAACCTAATGTACATCAGTACAGAATTGGTCAAATCAATTTGTTATAACCATAAAATAGATTATAAAAGTACATTATTAAGATGAAACACACGCTTTTTATGGGAAAAAAGAAAATATGGAAATGTTAATATACTAATAATTATTTGTGAAAACATCAATATTCTACGTTAAACTGTATTTTAGGGAAAAAATTGGGGCTGGGATATCTTCACATTGTATATGGTATGTTACCATGCATAATTCACTGCACAAATAATGTTATTTTTATTATTCTGGAAGATAAAGGATTTCCTTGTTTTCTTTTTTCTAATAACAAAAACAACCGTCTATTTTGGTGGTTACTAGGCAACGCTCGCCGGACTCAACCACCCTCGAAGGTTGGGAGGGGAGACGGTGTTTTTCTCGATTTCGCCCGAAGGAGGGTGGTCGGACTTCGATGTGCCGCCATCTTTGAGTAGGGCACACTGTTTACTGCTACAAAATGGAAACCTAGACGGAATGTGGTTGCTAGGCAACGCCTTGGGATCGTCGCAGTCTTTGATCGCGGCACACTGTTTTTTTCCGTTTAGAATGTAAATCATCAAAGCCTACAGGATGGCGTATAGGCAGGCCTTGGCGCAGTCGTCGTCTTCAACCCGGCCTCTTGGTTCTCCTTACCTCGGAGAAATGAAAAAGCTTTGCAAATTCAATTAGCCGCCATCTTTGTTAGGGGTACTATGACTTCCGGTTGGGGCGGAAGAGAACCTAACGGGTTTGGGGGAGGTGCCTGAATAGGGTTTGAGGGTCTGAGTTGGATGAAGAAGGCGGGAAGTTCATCCTGTTCCAAATTAGCTCCCCATCTCGCCCTCTGGCGGCTCCCGACCGCAGGCGGAGTTACTGTGATTGCCAGCATGCTCCACGACCGGCACTGACAGTCCCCACGTGGGGGGCTGCGGTGGGAGTCCGAAATGTGGGAGGAAGGGACGGGCGGCACCGTGCATCTGCTGTGCCTCGCGGCCTCCAGCGGGGTCCCCCTGTTCTGCAGGAGCAGCCGCGGCGGCGCCCCCGCCCGTCAGCAGGTGGGGCCTTGGACGCCTGTATCTAAACCGAAGGGGGTTCGGTGTTTTGACTCTGGGTCTTCAAGGCAGTAGGGACTGGAGGAGTTTCAGTGTTGAGTTTGTAGGACCGCGGAGGCAATGGACCAGTAAACCTGGTTCCTCAAAGAGACACTACCAGGACATATGGAAAGAGGATGGGGCTGGGAGCTGGCACACTTGGGTTTCAAAAAAGGGAGGGGATGGCGGGGGGCGGGGTGGGAAGGCTACTGTCTGATGTCCCTAACTCCTCCCTAGCTCCCGTTCTCTGTCATCGGCTCCCTCAATGGAGTCCACATGTTCGGGCAGAATCTGGAGGTGCAGCTGAGCTCTGCAAGGACCGAGAACATGACCGTGATGTGGAAAAGCTTCCATGACAGGTCCCCAGGCGGGAACGTGGGACAGGGACAGGGCCTGGGTTATAGTCCCTGTGGAAGATGACCCCCGAGGCCTTTCGGTTCTGTAAAGCCAGCTGTTAATTTAGCAAGCCAGTTACCCTCTTTGATCCCTGCTGTTCTCTATAAGAAAGGCAGGTTGGGCTGAGGGAGGAGGTATCTGGCATTCTAGGATCAGTGGGCAGACTCCGACATACCCCTTCCTGGTTCCCCAGACTTTGACACTTTCTTCCTTCTCACTTCCACTCCCCAGCATCACCCTCATTGTTCTGTCATCTGAGGTGGGCATCTCTGAGCTGAGGCTGGAGAGACTACTCCAAATGGTGTTTGGATCCATGGTGAGAACCCCCAGTCCTCTTCTCCCCAAACCAGGAATCTGAGATCTCAGCATCCAGCATCCTTTTCCCTCAGACCTAGGAGTCCAGACCACCAAAGACCACTTCCTCCCTCAACAAACCATGAATTTTTTTTTTTTTTTTTTTTTGGAGACGGAGTCTTGCTCTGTTGCCCAGGCTGGAGTGCAGTGGCCTGATCTTAGCTCACTGCAACCTCTGCCTCCCAGGTTCAAGCGATTCTCATGCCTCAGCTTCTCAAGTAGCTGGGACTACAGGTACATACCACCATGCCCAGCTAGTTTTTTTTTTTTTTTTTTTTAAAGATGGGGTTTCACCATGTTGGTCAGGCTGGTCTTGAACTCCTGCCCTCAGGTGATCTGCCTGCCTTGGCCTCCAAAGTGCCTGGATTACAGGCGTGAGCCACCACGCCCGGCCTTTTTGTATATTTTGTGGAGATGAGGTTTCACCATGTTGGCCAGACTGATCTGAAATTCCCAACCTCAAGTGATCCGTCCATCTCGGCCTCCCAAAGTGTTGCGATTACAGGCCTGTGCCACCGCGCCCTGCCAGAACCCAGGAATCTTGACCCCCAAGACCCAGGAGCGGGAGTCCCAGCCCCCTCTTCCTTCAGACCCAGGAGTTTGAGTCCAAGCCCCTCCTCTCTGCGAACCAGTTGCCCAGGGCCCTTCCTCTCCTATTTGGTTCTTCTAGGTCCTTCTTGTGGGACTTGAAGAACTGACCAATATCTGGAATGTGGAGAGACTGAAGAAGGACTTGAGGGTGAGGCTGCAGGACATGAGGGTGGGAAGTTAGGATACCTGAGCACTGCCATTTGGAAACTACAGTTCCCAGCAGTCCCTGGGGCAGCCTGGTCCCACAGGTTCTTGGGGCAAGTTGGTTGTCCGACCCTGGCCTTGGGTCCACCTGAATCCTAGGCTGGTCCCTTCTTCCTCTGCTAGGCCAGTTACTACCTGATCGACAGCTTCCTACGGGATTCAGAGCTCATCGGGGACCTGACCCAGTGTGTAGACTGTGTGATTCCACCAGAGGGGACCCTCTTGCAGGTACTGGGGATGCTATGGAAACTCTTAAACCTGTTCCTCTGGCCCTGCCTGAGTCCTCATCCTCTTTCTTCTGGACCATTGTCCCAACCTTCTCCTATCCTCTCAGCTTCCAGTCCTATCCCCACATCGTCCCAGAATAATCTTTCTTTTCCTTTTTTTTTTTTTTTTTTTTTTTTTTTTTGAGACAGAGTCTCTCCCTGTCGCCCATGCAATAGTGCAGTGGTGAGATCTTGGCTCACTGCAGTCTCTCCCTCCTGGGTTCAGGCCATTCTCCTGCCTCAGCCTCCCAAGTAGCTGGGACTACAGGCGTGTGCCACCGTGCCCAACTAATTTTTTAGTAGAGACTGGATTTCACCATGTTGGCCAGGATGGTCTTGATCTCTTGACCTCGTGATCCATCCGCCTTGGCCTTCCAAAGTGCTGGGATTACACGTGTGAGCCACCGCGGTCCGGCCCAGGCTAGGTGTTTAATCAGACTTCACAGTGTGAGTTGGGGATGTATGTGACTTTGTGTGTAGGTGAATGAACTCAGGCTCAGAGAGAGTGAGGTGCAGGAGCATGGCCACTCCGCGAGCTCGGGGCTGGCCGTGGGTCTCTGTCCATCCCCTGCCCACCTGGGAAGTCGCTGCCGCCCCCTGCGCCTGTCTGCTGACTCCCGGTCCCCCTGCCTCCCTTACCCAGGAAGCCCTCTCCGGGTTCGCTGAGGCCGCGGGCACGGCCTTCGTCAGTCTGGTGGTGTCCGGCCGGGTGGTGGCGGCAACAGAGGGTTGGTGGCGGCTGGGGGCCCCCGAGGCCGTGCTGCTCCCCTGGCTGGTGGGGTCTCTGCCGCCGCAGACCGCTCGCGACTACCCGGTGTACCTGCCGCACGGGAGCCCCACGGTGAGTGGGTGCGGTGGGCAGGGGGAGGTGAGCCCTGCGACCGGGGCGGAGGGATGGGACCTGCGGACCAACTCGCGAGGAGGCGGGATCTGCGGTGGGAAGCGGCGTGGCCGCGGTCCGTCCCAGCCTGTGCCCTGCTTCAGATCCCACACCGGCTCCTGACGCTGACGCTGCTGCCAAGCCTGGAGCTGTGTCTGCTCTGCGGACCGAGCCCACCCCTCAGCCAGCTGTATCCACAGGTGAACCCGCTCCACGTCCCGCTTTCCCCCTTAGGACACTCTCTACCCGCAAGGCCCTTAACTCACCACGCTGCCCTGCCAGCGGCTTCTTTCCCGGACCCCTCCTGGACTGCGCGCCAATCAATCCCCCAAGACCGACCAATCACACGTGGCCTCTGTGCCTGCAAGCCTCGCCCCTTCCCTAGTCCCTTCCGCCCTCCGCCCGCCTCTCATCGTGTAGGCCCCGCCCCTCCCGATTGACCGCGCCCCTTCGTGCCTTCCCCCTCTTCCCCGGCTCCGCCTTCCCGTGACCACGCCCCCCGCAGCTTCTGGAGCGCTGGTGGCAGCCGCTGCTGGACCCGCTGCGGGCCTGCCTGCCGCTGGGACCCCGAGCGCTGCCCAGTGGCTTCCCGCTGCACGCAGACATCCTCGGGTAGGGCTCGGATGGAGGGAGTGTGTTGGGGATGATGTCTTCTTCCCTAGCCATGACATTCCTTCCCCTTCCCACAGGCTGCTGCTCCTCCACCTGGAACTGAAACGCTGCCTCTTCACTGTGGAGCCCTTGGGTGATAAAGGTGACTGAGGGCAGGGACAGGGTCAGGAGGGGCGCGGGCCGAGGAGGGGCTCTGCGTCACCGCCTTTTCCTCCCCGCAGAGCCTTCCCCAGAACAGCGCAGGCGCCTCCTCCGAAACTTCTACACCCTGGTCACCTCCACGCACTTCCCACCAGGTGAGCGGCAGGCACTGTCCTCCCACTGCACAGGCGGGACACCGAGTCCCAGGTGGCACAAAGTGAGAGTGGGGGGGGGTTGGAGGAACCGGAGGAACCCAGCATGCCTGGGCCATGGGGCAGAGGTTTTCCTTGAGATCTGAGCATTGACCCAGAGAAAGGAGGGAAAGGGAAGTTCCTGCCTGGCTTCAGAACCTCCTGGGTCATAGTTAACAATAATTAGCACTGAGATCTCACCTCTGGCCAGTGCCTTTATAGGTAATAAAAGAATGAAATCACTTCATCCTCACAGGTGAGGACTATCCTGTTACCTCAGCTTTCCCATTTTACAGATGAGGAAACTGAGGCCCAGCTCATAAGTGGTAGAGCCATATTTGAACACAAGGGATCTGGCTCCCTAACCCATAGCCACAGTCCAGTACTCTGCACTACTGCTGAAAGCACAGGCTTTGCTGATAGGCTGGGAGGGATGGGGGAGGATTTCACAGATTCCCGGTTAAGGTTAGAAAGGAAAAATTGTCAGAGAACCCATTAAGGCCCCAGAGAGAAAAATGAAGGGACCTGGGATGGCACCACGACCCCAGCGAGACCCGATTAATGCAGCACAGTGGTCAAGAGCTCCATCTCAGGATGCTGCACCCCTTCCTAGCTGTGTGACTCCACCTCTCCCTGCCCCTGGAGCTCTTGTGTTGCTGCTGTGTTTGCCATGTGTATTGCTAAGAGGATCGTCCACGGCTGCACAGCTTCCCCAGGAAAATGAGGGCCAAGGCGGAGAAAGAGGAAGAGGGTGAGCTGAGCAAGAGAGTCATGGTCTTCAGGTTGCTGATGGCCAGCTGGAGCCCTGAAGCCCTTCCCTGGCAGGAGGCTCCCAAAGCCTGTGCTCGGAGACCCCGCATGTTCAGAACTTGGACCCAGGATGGGGTCTGGCTTCCGAAGGTTAGCATGCTACTTGTCACCTCAGTGCCTCCTGTCCTTTCTCCAGAGCCAGGGTCACTAGAGAAGACGGAAGATGTGTTCCACCAGGCCCAGCTGCCCAGAGCCTGCTACCTGGTGTTAGGGACTGAGGAACCAGGCTCAGGAGTGCGTCTGGTGGCCCTGCAGCTGGGGCTTCGGCGGCTGCTGCTGCTGCTGTCTCCCCAGAGTCCCACCCATGGGCTACGAAGTTTGGCCACCCACACTCTGCATGCCCTCACCCCACTTCTTTGACTACCTAGCAGTGAGTGACGGACACAGACACGGGGCCGTTAGCGTCTCTCTGTTTTTATTCGCTCACATAATACACAGCCCCTGGATGGGAAGGGGGTAGGAGGGGCTATGACAGGGTGGGGTGGGAGGGGAGGAGGCATCCACTTCCCTGGCCCCTCTCCCCTCTGTGCTTGGGGGGGGAAGGGAGGGAGGGAGCTCCCCCTGATCCCCCAGAATGTAAACAGCAGCAGATGAACAAAAATAAAAATACAAAAGGCTGGAGGAAGGTCCCAGGCATCCCCCAACCCCTGGGGTCTTCTCTGTCACCAGTGGAGGTCCCCCATCCACCTCATCCACCAAAGTTGCCTCAGTCCAAGGGGCTGCCCGGTGCCGGCCACATCCCCGGGGGCAGAGTCCAGGGCTCAGAACTGCTGCGCTAGCAGCTCACACAGGTGACGGGAGACAGGCTCCTTGCTGGTGCGCAGGGTCAGCCGGTACATCTGGGTTGGGGCATTGGGGGCAGAACTCAGAGGGGATGGGGAGCCCAGGGAAGTGGGGACACAAGGGAGATAGAAGAAAGAAGGATAAGGGGGGCAGAAAGCCGATATAAGACACAGGAGAGAAGAAAGTCAGAATGAAATCAACAGAGAAGCCAGAGAGGAGGGAAATTATAAAAGATGAGGGAGAGAGAAAGGTGGAAAGGATATGGAAAGGTAGAAATAAGGAAGGGGTAGAAGAGGAGAGGAAGACCAGAGGATGGAGGCGGGAGAGAAGATTGATGGATAAAGAGGAGGAAAAGTGGACAGAGAGACGCGAGAAGGAGGGTCAAAGCGGGGAACGTGAGTTAAAGAACAGTGAGGCAGGAGGGGTGGGGCGCAGAGGGGGCAGGCGGCCTTCCTGCCGGCCTCAGGCCGCCCACAGCAGCACTCACCTGGGCCTGGGCGTTGGGCTCCAGCCGGAGCAGACAGCCCACCTGCAGGGCCTTAGTCTGGATGATTCCCGCCCCCACGAAGTTCTCAGGGTTGGGGTCCACATTGTCCAGGAGAGCAGAGCCAAACCCCAGAAGCTGGGAGGGAGGGGGGCCGCCGTCAGGGAGGGCCAGAGCTGTTAGCTACCACACAGTGACATCCCAGATCCCATCCCGAAAACCCTTGGGGATGGGAATTGGCCCCACTTTACAGATGGGAAAACAGAGGCTCAGAGAAGCAATGCGGCCATGGGCCGGCGAACACGCCCGCGGTCTCTCACCTTGGCCTTAGTAACTTCTGCGTCCATGGGGTGGTTGGCTTTGAAGATTTTCTGCGCCTCCTGTTGAGGGCTGGAGACCAGGAAGGCTCAAGTCAGGGACCTGGACGGCCCGGGCCCGCCCACCCGGAGGCGCGGCTTTGGCTCCGCCCCCTCCCCACCCCTCACAGGCTCAGCTGCTTCCAGCGCTGGAAGAAATCCTGCGCCGCCATCTCTGTGGGCTGGAAGAACTTGTTGATGGTCACCGGGAGCTTCAGGGTGAGGGCTTGGGGGGCGCCACCGTACCTAGTGGGGTGGGGAGGAGGCTCCGTCAGGCCCCGCCCCCCGCCCGAGCCCCCGCCCCCCGCCCGAGCCGCGCCTGACTCACCGGAAGCGCACGGACAGCAGCGGGGGCGTCAGGAAGTCCCGCAGACACTCGATGTTGAGCACCTGCTGCACCTGCGCGCCGCCGTCCACCTGCGCCGCCACGCGCTTGGTCTGCACAGCCAGCTGTGCACGCCACGGGTCAAGGAAGCCAGACAGAGGCGGCGGGCCCCCGGGAGGTCTGGGTCAGGATCCCCAGAGCGCCCGGCAGCTCCCACCTGCAGGCCTTTGAGGGACCCTACCGTGCAATCCTGGACAATCCTACGAGGTTCAGTTACAAAGTGCATACTGTGGAAACCTCTGAGGCACCCCCTAGATGCCTCCTTTGGCCTCCATAACGTCCCACCGCAATGAGACAAGAATAGTGGCTCTGGAGGCAGATTTGGGTTTGAATACCAGCTCTTACCACCTGAATGCCTGTGGGCAAGGCACTTAACCTCTCTTAGCCTCTGGACATGTGTAAGCCTGGGCAACATGACAAGACCCCATCTCTAGAAAAAAAATTAGCCGGGCGTGGTGATGGGCACCTGTGATCCCAACCACTTGGGAGGCTGAGGCAGGAGGATGCCTTGAGCTGAGGTCCAGGCTGAAGTGAGCGGTGTTCATGCCACTGCACTCCAGCTTGGATGAGTGAGGCCCTGTCTCAACAAAAGGACACATATACAATGTCCTCAGGTGCTTGAAGGCTTAGCTTTCCAGATAAAGAAAAAAAAAAAAAAGAATAAAATGGTCTCAGGAGTTGATGAAATAATCCAGCCAGTTGTGGTGGCTCATGCCGGTAATCCAGCACTTTGAGAGGCCAAGGTGGGGAGGATCACTGAGCCCAGGAGTCTGAGACCAGCATTGGCAACTTAGTGAGGCCCCATCTCTATAAAAATAGAAAGAAAAAAAAAAAGAATCCATTGTAAGTACTTGTCTGTGTGCATGGCACATGGCAGGTACACAAAGATGGTAGCAATTAGTGTCAGTAACCCGCTGGAAGGCCCGAGTCTCATACTTCTCTCACCGCTGCCCCACCCCGTGCCTGGCATGGAGCAGCTTGCTGGAAGCCTCTGGAAATTATGGAAGAAGGAGTTTTGCTTTTGTTTGTCTGTTTTTGAGACAGAGTCTCACTCTGTCACCCAGACTAGAGTGCGGTGGCGTGATCCTGGCTCACCACAACCTCCGCCTCCCAGGCTCAAGCAATTTTCCTGTCTCAGCCTCCCGAGTAGCTGGGATTACAGCCGTGTGCCATTACCACTCAGCTAATTTTTGTATTTTTAGTGGAGATGGGGTTTCACCATGTTGGCCAGGCTGGTCTCGATCTCCTGACCTCAAATGATCCACTGGCCTCCCAAAGTGTTGGGATTATAGGTGTGAGCCACTGCCTGGCCAGAAGTAGTAGTTTTGGGGTCAAGCACCTCTAGTTTCATGAATGTGGAAATGAAGGTCCACAGAAGGGGCGGGGGAACTGATACCTCCAGCCACCCTTCCAGGGTTTTCCAGACACTGTGATCATCACAATAACCCTATGAGGAGGAAGGGGAGGGTCTACATACACTTCACTATGGGGACAGGGGCCCAGAGAGGCAAAGTGACTCAGCCCAGGTCGCACAGGAGGCCCTGGTCAGCGTCTGGACCCGCAGGCCTGGCTCCTGAGTG